CACAGTCCAGGAATATACTGACAAAATATAAAAAACAATACCTATATTTTTAATTTACTGCTTAGTTATAGCATGTACAAAACCTAAACTCTAAAATTATCTTTTAGTTTTATAGCATGCTCTCTTTTCAATACTTACAGCACAAAGCCTTTTGCAATTTGTCTTTCCATTTAATCTTTTTAAGCCTCATATATCCAAGACCACCCTCTCTGCTTGTTTACTATAACTTAGCTTTTCATTGTTATAACAAGCACTGACCACGTCTACAGTTTGCTCAGATGTGTGGAAACTCATCCATAAAATTGAGATCACTCATACAATACAATGTACTAAATAACGTGAGCTAGTTTCATTTTAACCACAGCTGCTTTAAAGTTCCATGGCATTAATCCCTTTATGTCAGTTAAACTGCAGAGTAATCTCAATTTTCCCCACTTTACACTGCACCTAATAAACAAAACATATCATTGTGTGCAAATGTAAACTACTTAAGTGTGTAACACGCTCTCCAGCTCAGATTCTGAAATCTAATGCATCATTTAGACATAATAGACCATGATAACTCATCAGGCATATTTATACCTGCAATTACAGTAATTCTCTCTTGATGTACAGTAGGGCAACCTGAAACTATCCCCCTTGATTTAACTGCACCTTCAAAATTAATTCACCTATAATTAATCTCAGAAGATGTGAGGTATCACATGTTAGTGTGAATTTAACTACAAAGGATAATATATAAGAAATTCCATGAGCACCTCTGGTTTCCGTTTTCCACAAATTGGTAAGAGGACTTCCTATAGACTTGTGCAATTACAGAGGTATTCGATGCATTTGATGTGGTGAATGTTTTAACTTTAATTCTCAATATTAGTCTTTATTAGTGACACTAATAAAATGAGCAAATTAAAATCAAATTGAGTGAAAATTCCAAGATTTCACTCTGTTATTTAAAATATATTTAATAAGTTTCATTACTTCGGTAACCATCCACTATTTAATACTAAGGAGGGGAAAGAATAGTCAATTGTTTCCAGTTGTTTTTCAAAAAAGAAAATCTGTTAATAATCTCTACATTTTTATTCAGAATAAAATATATTTGTAAATAATTTGATTTTTTTGTGGATTACTCAAAAAATTCCAAAATACAAACTAAATTATGGCATTTACAATGTATGGCACATTACATATTGTTCAGGTGCCCAACACAAAGACATGCTGCAGCCCTTGTTATGTACCGTCTGGATATGTCTACTTATTTTACCTGAAGAGCCATACACAAATCTATTTCACCTAGGTACTTTATCGAGTAGACCCAAATATGAATTAGTTTATTTTACACCTATAAAAAAGTAAAACTCTTAAATGTGTCTTTCAGTAAGAAGTGCGATTGTGTTGGGGAAAAAATTCTAACTTTACCTATACTGTTAGCTGACAATTCTTGCACAATTAGTCATTAAAAACGGCAGAATATCCAGACAATACGGTATTTATGTTGCAGACATTCCAAATGTGGTTTATTAATTAGTCAGTTTTTCAAAATTTATTTTTATGCCAGTGAAAATTAAGGATTAGAGTGAAATGTTTCAGCATCTGGCCTCGTACTTTTACATGTGCCAAAGCCTTCAGCATTTTTTTCAACCATCTGGTTGTTGTTTTGAGCTGAATTCATTGCCAGTTTGGCACAATGACTCCTGAGGTCTCAACATACAGACATGTCAAGGACATTAAACATTTGGACAGCCTTATGGTACAAATTCCTAACCAAGAATACACGTTACTTTCTGGAACAAATTAGTGAAGCTTTCCGTTGTAAATATTATTCTAACATATATAGAATTTACGTAATTCTTAGTGTTCTTTCCGTGCTTCACCGTAACAAGTATTTAAAAGATGGCGCACAATAAAGTGGCCAATATTGAACTATTTTAAGGCAAGTACTAGTTCTAGTGAAAACGTCACCTATCCTCAATTTTGTTATTTTGCCTGAGGATGTGCTATCTACACATGCTGTAGCCTAAATAAGAAAAATCAGACGGAACGCAGTGTCTTATCAGTCTGCCCATTTGCAGAGCTGTGGCAAACAGCAACGTCTAAAACAACAAAGAAGACTGATCCTGTGCTCTTGGGGCCAAAGCTACTTCTGCATTTCAGTTCAACCTAGTGTTAAATAACTTAATTGATATAATCAGAACAATCCATCAGACAAAAGCATTTCCACTTCTGGTATTAATCAGATGATAATGAGAAATACATATAAAGGACTATAGTCCTGATTTGATTCCCACTGCAGTCACAGAGCATTCAGTGAGTACGACTTCTTATCCTCGTGCTTCTTCAAATGCTGACATCCAGGACAGACAAAATAAAATACAGGAAAAAAAAATACAGCTAAAGTGGATCCACTACAGTTATAATATTAACTTAAAATAAGTTTGTTCTGCAGAACGGACAATAAACTCCTTCAAATCAAACTTTACAAAGCAGTTACTGTACCACGAGTGGCTAAAAGTCATATCAGAATTACAGTATCCAAGATTCTGCAAAAATTTTAGAACAAAAAAGTATTTCTGATGTTTGACACTTCTTTACGCATTTCCTCCTATCTTTAGAAGTAAACGTAGTGCCAAAAAATGATAAAATAATTTGAAACCACAAAATGTGCCACACATGATATGACTTTGTCACACTTGTTTGAGCAGAAAACCACAATACCTTTCTGATATCACTAAGGTATGCAATTCTGACATATCTATTTACTGCACACAGCACACTCAGCAAACAGAACTACTCCACTGAAAACAGCAGCTGTTCGGGTGTCATTCAGCTCAATAATGTCCACTTAAAAGCTGTAAAATGAACAACAGGATAACCAGATCTTGGATTCAAAAGGAGGAACTTCACTTTAAAAAAATCACTTTTCTGCTGCACTATATCAACCATGATTCTCATGCAATAAAATACTTTATTATTTCGTTCATGCGTAGTAGAAAGTTAAAAACTATGATAAACGTAAGTGACAGACTACTGTATTAAGCATTTATTAATATTGTAACATCAACCATTCCTTATCTTCGGCCTGAGTCTCGCACTGGAATGTGTATTTTAAATAACTTTGCTTTCAGAGTAAGCGCACATTATAACAGCATATTCGTATGTGTTCAGTTTTCACCACTACTTAATTCTGCATCAGATAGTACATCTCCATTAAATTGGTACTTGTACATTAAACAAACTGCACAAAAATATGTTTTTCTTGGTGTACTGTTAAAATGATTAATCTGTTCTTGTAATTACTGTACTACTAAAAACAACACAAGTGAACAAAACACAAATGTGATCTGCTTACAGATTTTTTGTATACTGGTGAACTCTTGGATTTATAACTTTTTGCAGTTTATAATAGCTAACAAGACTTCAGTAGCCATACTGTATATATTAAGCTGTATATTTTAATATTGTAGATTGATTTACTGTACTTGACCAAGTGCAAACTTTAAAGTAAAAACTGTACAAAACGTGCCAGATGAGAATACAAAGGAAATAGGTGGTCTGATCTCACCAATAAATTTTTATATGGCACCCATGAAATGTATCCTTCAGTTAAATGATTGTTTTTGTTTCTACTGATACAATTAACAATTCCCTATCTCAAAGTAGTTGTGATTTTCTAAACCACACCAAAGTCCACTCTCCAACATTACAGGTATAAGTGAACAGTCAAACATTCCAGATAGTATTCTTCAAAGTTGTTTACTGAGAGTATTGCACTCAGATGAGAGAGCTTTTAAACATGCTTTTAAAAATGCCTTTATAAATTATGGGATTGAGGTCATTCCTTTTAATGTATACTGTTAATACAACATAACAGCATAATTAATCCGTTTCCACTGGAGCAAAAATCAGCCACTTTCAGAATCAAGTACAATATAGATAAGAGAATACAGCTTCATGTCATTAACTGCACTCCGTTGTCCAATGCTTATTTTGAATGTTCTTCGATTGCTTCAGTAATTATTAATAAAGGTGCATTTTCAAAATGAAGTACACATTAATTCACATGTGTTAATGGCTGAACAATTTCAGGTGACTAGGACAATTTTTTATATAAATCAACAGTAAAAACAGTTAGAATACAGAACATATGAGCACTGAGTTTCTAAGAAGCATAGATTACATTTCCTCTAGTTTTTTATTTAATTAAGTGATTATTCAACGTTATATTCTTAACTATAACTATTGTATTAAATGTAACAATGTGGACAATTTGATAGGATTAGTTCAACTCATTTTCCTTTGCTGTTTTATTTCAATAATAATAACAACAAAACACACAAGACAAAATACAATTACATTTTCAGTTCACCTATACCTGTTGTATAGCATACACCGCATCGTTTTGTTTTAGGTCAGCGATCCATAGTTATCCGATTAATCAATTCGTGTTAACATAACTGTCTATCCGTAATCGTATGCATACAGAATATATTTAATAACTAATACATATACAGAAAGATATAGCATTTCCAGTACTGTATTGAATATTCCTAAACAACAGCTGGTAAGTAAGAAAACATCTGCACTATTGAAAACTGCTTTAAAACCTTAAAGCAGACCGAAGGCTACAATGGTATTACTCCTGATGCATCTAAAACTTCAAATACAAAAATAAAAAGGATTATACAAGCCAAAATACCAAATGAATTCATATGATTCATTTTATATACCTATTATTTATAATCATTTAGAGAATAAATTACTTAATTTCAATTTTAAAGAAGACAATACTGTATGTGTAGAACTGTACTGTAGAAAACATTTCCAGTAACGGACTTGACTTGCGTAGACCACCAGAAAACAAAAAAAGAAAATACTCGCGTTGGGAAAAAAAGCTGCCTCCGAGGGTCAACAATTACAAGTAAATTACGAATAATAATAACATGCTGAAAACACTGCAGACAAAACGCATGCATACGTACATTTAGTGAATGGGCTCTTACCTTAACAGAAAGTTGTCGAGTGTAATATCTATATCAAATTCACGAAAAATGTTAGTAATAGGACATAAGCCCTGACTGTATAATATTCCACTAGAAGCCCTTTAAGAGCCGATAATGTTCGTAACAGGGATTACTTCGTACCAACCATCTCTTTCTGAAAGAGATTTCATTACCAACTAGTAATTGAGATTCGTAACTAAGATTCGTAACTTCTCCAAACTTGCAACCTCAGTGTGTTTCAGCAAGCTTTGTGAGCCAAAACTAAAAAATAAAAAGCATTCCTCTGTGCTGGCCGTGCGCTGCTCAGAATTGCGAGGCGCCCTCTGCAGACAGACATTTCGCCAAACCTCTCTGAAAATCTGAGACTGCAGATGAGACGAGATGTTGGTGGTTTAATGTGGCTTCTTCGATAGAGCATGTAAAATAAAATGCAGGCAGGATTTTACAGAGAATCACCTAAGGCTTATATAAATCTGCAATTATGAAGGAGAATTAAAAGGTAAAAGTATGAATTAGTTTATAATTTTATATTGGTGTATATCTGAGCCTGAAACTCTAGATTCACTTCAGACCCTTTCCAGCTGCTGTCTCTCCGAGACTGGTGCTCTCCCACACACACACACACCCACCCTGGCCTTGCTCTGGCCGTCTGTTACTGAGCAAACAAACCTTGCTGTAGTACAGTCTCCATTTTCGTCAGTGTCGGATTTACAACGCACACCAACATTTCCAGATGCTGGGCACTCTTCGAAAGTTTCATTAATTTTCGAAAGTTTCATTAATTAATCCAATCCAGTTTGTTTCCGTTCATTTACAAGACTTCGAAGGCTTCCCACTAGAAACCTAAATACGCATTTACGCTTTAATTGAATAAATAAGGCGATAATAGTGGCAGCAGTTGTTTGATGGGCAGTAGTTATTAGATTAGCTGTTGCGTGTTACTCAAACCTGCGTTATGCATGAATTATTTTTATACATGTATGTTTTGAAAGTTATAAATATCTTTTCTAGACATTTTTCTTTAGTAATTGGCTAATAATTCGTGGTGTATCGTAGTGTATGCAGGGCAAGTTCGCCCTGTAGAACTTTAATTAGCACGCCGTTTATTTTGAACGGCCAGGAAAACTTTAATAAAGGATTTAAGGTGAAAAAGAATGGAATATAAATATAAGCGATTTTGAAAACGCTACTTAAAAAAGATTTAATGCAGGAGTTTATGTTGGCAGTATTTACATCTTCTAGAATGTTACAATATAGTGAGTTGCAAAAATACTTACCTCTTCCTGGTGTTTTTGTTGAATTCTAAAATGGATTATACCCATATTTTGAAGTGAACCTTTTTAATTCAAAATTAATGCTCAAACTGAACAGATTTCTGAGAGAAAGAAATTAGGTGTAAGAAAAAATTGCAAATGAAAATCGCAGAATAAAACTTTTGTAAACAGTTTAATCTTTGAGAAGAATTTCTACAGTATATGTCTCTTATCAACTTTGTACACCAAGATGCTGCTACCCCAATTCATTTCAAGTCTTGCTACAGAATGTCTATTGGATTCAAGTCAGGATGGGACTGGGTTACTCAAGGACATTCGCTTTTGCCTTGTTATGTTATGCCACACCAGTGTATTTTTGGCCTTGTATTTTGGGTCACTGTTCAGCTGAAATATGAATTTTCATCCCAGTTTTAGGTCTGTAGGAAACTGAAGCAGGGTTTGCTCCAACCATTTCCCCATAGTGTTGACAAGCTTCCCAGTCCCAGCTGACAAGAAGCAGAACTATAACATGATCCCGCCACCACTATGCTTGACAGTTGGGACAGTGCTGGCATGGATGATTCACCATGATGTGTTTGGACCAGACTTAATGCTTTGCTTTTCGACCAAAAAGTCCTAATTCCATTTCAGGGAATCACAAGTTCCACAAGTACCACAAGTTCCTTTTCAGAATGTCTGCAGGGCTACTTAAATGCCTTGATATGGCTTCTTCTGCAGAATTGGCGTCCCTCTCACCACTTTGCCAAGGAGGCCAGCTTTGTGGATATTCTTGATCCACTGCCATTTTCTCCCATCGTACTCATTGAATTCTATAGATCTTTCAAAGTCGCTTGTGACCTCATGGTGACATTCCTGACCCGTGTCCTCCCTTCCTGGCTGCTCAGTTCGGATGGATTGCCTGATCCAGGCAGTGTCTCAAATGCTCATAGAGATAATGTATGTGTTTGACATTTTTCATTACCCTTTGTGCCATTTTTTTATTTGACTTATTCAAATACTGTATGTATTCATTGTTTTTAATTAGACAAAATGGGACATTATTGGAAGGGAGTGAATACTTTTACACAACACTTCATAGTTATATAGTTCATGGTACATACAGTACAATGTAGATTAAAGCATGTTATGTTAAGAATGTACAATGCACTATTAGAATATTGTGTACCATTTTGTTCTCCATATTACAAAAAAGGTCTGCTATTCTGGAATTGGTCCAGAAAAGAGCAGCCAGAAATATTCTCTCATCTTAAAGAATTGTCCTCAGCTTAAAGGGCACTCCTACTCTGTCCTGTCCCTAGTTTCCTGTGCTTTGCTGTCGTCCTTCCGGTGTCTCTCTCTCTGGGGCTATTATTTCCGGGTCACTGATTCACCTTCGCTCAGCATTGACGTTCAGATGTCCTGAGACCCGCCTAGCATCCAGGTCGCCCCACGTCCGCTGCCTGAGGGCATTGGTTTCTATACAACTCCTGAACTGCTGAGCCTGGGCTAATCCCCCGTTCTGCCACTAAGCATAGGGTCTTTTTCCGCTTTCCTGCCTCTCCACGGTTCATCCCTTCCGACACCCAAGACAGAATGCTGAGTCTCCTACTGACCCTGCGAGCAGCACTTTTTGTTTTTCTGCAGTTTTTTTTCCTCTGGTATTTTTCTTTTCTCACAGCTCTCCTATTCTAATCACGGGATGCTTTTTCCTACTCCTGTGCCTGTGAGCGGGCTGAAGCCTGGCTTTCCTTGGGTTGTCATTCCGGCATCCGTGATGGAATGTTGAGCTGGCCCACCTATCCTCATTGCTGGATATCACTCCGGTCATCCGTGCCTGTGAGCGGGCCGTGTGCCTGGCTTTCCTCGGGTTGTCCACTCCAATATCAGTGATAGAATGAGAATGTGACTATTGCTCATTCTGTGGTATTTTCCCCAGGTTTTTGTGTTTTTATTCTTGTTTTTTGCTTGGTGGTTTGATTTTTCATTTCCTGGTTTCCCCTTCTCTCTGGTCCCCGTCCCATGTGTCTTGGAACATTTGGTTCCTATCTGTTTTTTGTGGTTTGTTTCCCTGGTCTCCCAGGTTTATCTTTGTTGTGGTTTGAGCTTGTGTCCTTGTCTTTTTTGTTTTAAGTCTCCGGAGCTCTACCTGACCCTCTCTTCCTCTACCCAATAAAGGTTTATACCCTGGAGGAGGGGGCAGCTCTCAGCCATGGACTCTCTGAGATTTCCTTTCAGTTAAATGAGGTTTTTCCTCCGCCCAGTGCTGTGCAGCTCACTTATTTGTATGGGCGTCAGGAGCCGCCCATGAAGGGGGAGGTATTGTCACGCCCTCTGCGGCCAGAGGATGCTCCTTCTCTGTCCTGTTCCTAGTTTCCTGTGCTTTGCTGTCCTTCCGGTGTCTCTCTCTATGGGGCTATATATTTCTGGGTAACTCATTTACCTTCGCTCAGCATTGACGTTCGGATGTCCTGAGACCCGCCTAGCATCCAGGTCGCCCCACGTCCGCTGCCTGAGGGCACTGGTTTCTATACGACTCCTGAACTGCTGAGCCTGGGCTAATCCCCCGTTCCGCCGCTACGCATATGGGTTTTTTTCCGTTCTTCTGCATCTCCACGGTTCATCCCTTCCAACATCCGTGACACTGACAGGCTAAAGTGACTGCACATTATTAGTACTGAACAGTGAGAAAAATAATGGGTCCTGATTTGAGTAGTCAAATCATCAAAGGCATCAACACAAATAGCAAATAAGTCTTCTTCTTCAACAGTGAAACAAAAACTGGAGGACACAAGCAGAAACTACAGTACAGTATATGGAAATACATGTAAAACAGAACAAGAGCCACTTTTTGCCCTATTGTTGTAGGAGTCTTCATCAAGCTACTCAGCCATGTTATTGAAACCAACATTCTACCGTAGCTTGTTTCAATAAATGGCTGGATGAAATTCTCAATAACCAAATAAGATAGATGGGTGGAATGGTCTGCTTTCATTTGTAACTTTTATTATGTTCTAATGCTGGGCATCTAACAAACCCACCAAATCTAACAGAGTGTCAGAGATTTGCTCTCACCCAGTCATCATGGCTCACTGGATGACTGGATGGTCTTAATCACTTTGATGTATTCAAGAGTTCACCAGTTTTCAGAATTTTTAAGATTTCTTGTGATGTAAGATTCCTATTGGTCTCTATAGAAGGTGAACTAACAAGTGTTGTTGTGAATCGCCAATACCTACATAAGTAGAGTAAAGGCATCCTGACAGAAAAAAGCTCAGACTTAATAAGTAGTGAAAGATGGGATAAACAGTAAAATATATTAGTTTTTGTGTTACAAAAACTGGCCATGCTCTCTATACAGTATATGTAATTGTATTTGCAGTCATAGGAAAACAGCCAAACATGTATGGCCAAATAAGAGATTTACAGACTCAAAGAGACCGTCTTTTATTTCTGAGGGTTGTACTTACTGTAATTGTGTAATTTGTGATTTCTGTAGCTGAGTTACTGTATGTAGTCCAAAGGCACTCAGATCCATTTTTTCAGCAAAACACCAACATTTAGCCAAAACCTATAATTGGTCTTGGTTTACTATCCTACTTTACATTCCCCTACTTCCCAAAACAGGACGGTTTTGGGGAAACAAGCCAAAAACACAAACATGTTTTTATATTTATTGTTTTATAGCAAGCTACACATTTTTTAGGTATTAAACATTTTTGTTAAATTTGGCTTTCCGCTTCTACTAATCCATCCATCCATTTTCAAACCACTTAATCCAGTACAGGGTTGTAGAAGAGCCAAAGCCTATCCCGACAAGCAACGGGCACAAGGCAGGATACACCCTGGATGTCCCTGGACGCAGTCCATCACAGTATACACACTGACACAAACACATAACCACTCACACCAGCAGCTATTTCATCTATGATATATGTCTTTGGACGGTGGGAGGAAATCTGAGAACCAGGCAAAAACAAACAGGACTACGGGGAGAACATAAAAACTCCCTACATTGATCTCCTCAGGGCCCCAGTGCTGTGTAACCTCTGTGCCAGCATATTGCGTGCTTCTACTGGTTACAATAAATAATTCCTTTTCTTATTGTATGCTAAATTTAGGTTAAGCGTCCCATAATGAACAACCTTCACTCGTTTACATGTAATTCTTTACTGAATGAAGTTGAAATGGACCTTGAACAACTCTTCCAATTATAGAAATGTTATTTGTCTCTGGTACTAATATATTTCAGGTTAGCACGCTATTCGTCTTAAGTTTTTGTGGAGTTGTCTATCTTCTGGATCTCATAGATCTTAGGATTACTCGATTGTCCCCTT